TTCTTCCTGATTGGTTTTGGGTACCGCAACCAGGCGAGACCATAGGAGCTGTTTTTCATGATGTAGTGATGTATTTTGTTCAGGGAGCACATCGGGAGGTAGAATAATCGCGGAAAGTTATGGTAGTAGCTAGCTGAATGGTATGTTGCAGGGGCTTCAATAAAACACTATGGGATTAAACTACGCATTCATGATTAACAAAATGTAGTACATATGATGTGGGTAGGGTCTCCATGGCCCATACTGTCTTTTGTTTTCTGACCAGCACAGCTGGCGATCGCTTTCTTGTTGTGATGACATATGTGAATCCGGGGGTAGGGGCAAAGGGTCCAGCTGCACAGGCACCGGTGCTACAAAAGCCGAGTCTGATCATTGGTGCACGGACCACCGAGGTTTCCTATTTCTGCAGCAGTCTAAATTCGGTTATACGAAAGGAAAAGCACCGCTGCCGATTTCAGAAGTAATTTGCAAAAGCTTCAGATTATCGGGGAAAATTTTCATCGCCCCATCCCCACACCATCCGCCGCTCTCCCGCCCTTCCCGTCCAGGGGTCCGTCCTAGATCCGCCTATGTGTGTTGAAAGGATTCGAAATTATTTATCTGAGAATAGAAAAATACTTAGAGCTGTGTTAGGCAGCTTCGGTGTCTTTCTCTCTTTAAGAAGGAAGTGATGAATTATCCTTCTTACCCTCTCCCTCTCCCTCTGTTTGCATCTCTTCCGCATTTGCTTGCAGCACTGCATGATTCGATTTTTTAGAGTTGTTGCAGTGGTAACGCAAGGGCAACGAATTGACTGCCGATATGTCATCGCCAGTCATGCATACACACCACAAAAATACATAAAAAATTTATCGAAAAAGCGATTCAATCGAGCTGTATTGATCTCTGAAGGATCCATCTTACCGGATCCGGAAAAAGAACATGTAAGATTCCTGGCCTTGTATTTTCCTTTATTAGCATGTAACTCTGCTGACCGCACCGAAAATTGGAGACTTCAAAACCGCGGCTTATTCGGAGTATGACTGTACTGGCCATTAAAATGATGCCAGAATGAAGACGTTTGTTTGGGCTAAATGGCGTTTTCCCTTCCAAGTAGCACCGCTTTTATGATGCATCCGTAAACCGATTAGACTTCTACAGCAGCTTATTTAACTACGGTTTATCAAGAGAAGGCAGAACTCCCATTATTTTGCTTATGAAAAACAGAGCCACCAATATTCTGGCGAGTGGCAAGTTTTGGCACAACAGTTTTTGAGTCCTTTCGCTTTAATAAAGAATGAATACAGCGAAAGTTTTGACCTCTGGTACCACACGTAGCTTTATTTTTTGTTTTTTTGTAATTACTTGATGTGGTAAGC